GGAGGAATCAGGCTACCTGATGTCAAACTATACTACAAGGCTGTAGTAATCAAAACGTAATGGTACTGGTATAAAAACAGACATATAAATCAGACAGAATAGAGAGCACCAAAATAAACTCATACCTTTATAGCCAATCAATATTTGACAAATGAGGTAAAAGCATACAGTAGGCTAAAGATAGTTTATTCAATACATGGTGAGGGAAAAATTGGACAGATATGTGCAAAAAAAAAAAAAAAGAAAGAAAGAAAGAAAAGAAAAGAAAAAAGAAACTAGACCACTGTCTTAGGGCATACACAAGAATAAACCCAGAATGGATTAAAGACTTGAATATTAGCCCTGGCCTAATTGTGGATTGTGTGCCAGCCTGTGAACCAAAATGTCACCAGTTTGATTCCCAGTCAGGGCATATGCTTGGGTTGAGGGCCAGGTCCCCAGTTGGCGGTATGCAGTATGCAAGAGGCAAATGATTGTTTCTCTTGCATATCAATGTTCCCCTCCCTCTCTTTCCCTCTTCCTTCCCCTGTCTCTGAAAATAAATAACTAATGTCTTTTAAAAAATTATGAATACTTAAATGTTAGACTTAAAGCCATAAAAATCCTAGAATTAAAAATCATAGGCAGTAAAATCTTGGACATTGCTCATAGCAACATTTTTTCTGTCATATTTCTTTGGGTAAAGTAAACAAAAGAAAAAATAAACAAATGGGACTACATCAAACTAAAAGTTTTTGCACAGAAAAGGAAATCATCAACAAAATGAAAAGAAAGCCCATTGAATGGGAGATATATCCCACTGACATATGGGATAAAGAGTTAATATCCAAAATTTATAAAGAACTTGTGAAACTCAGCACCAAAAAACCAAACAATCTAATTAAAAAATTGGTGAATGACCTGAATAGACATTTCTCCAATGAGAACATAGATGGCCAATAGACATGTGAAAAGATGCTGAATGTAACTAAATGTCAGAGAAATGCAAATTAAAACCACAGTGAAATATCACCTTATACCTTTCAGAATGGCTTTCATCAATAAACAACAAACTGGAAATCAACAAACGAGTTCCAGCGAGGATGTGGAGAAGGGGGAACCTGTTTGTGCTGTTGGTGGGAATGCAGACTGGTACAGCTACTGTGGAAAGCAATGTGGAGTTTCCTCATTAAACTAAAAATATAATTGCCATTTTACTCAGCAATCCCACTTCTGGGAATGTATCCTAAGAAATCCAAAACACCAATCAGAAAGAATATGTTCACCCCAATGTTCATACCAGTGTTATTTACAATATGCAAGATCTGGAAACACTCCAAGTATCCATCAGTAGATGAGTGAATAAAATAGCTGTGGTACATTTACACAATGGAATACTACTCAACCATAAAAAAGAAGAAAATTTTACCCTTTGCGACAGAGTGGATGGACCTGGAGAACATTGTGCTAAGTGAAATAAGGCCAGTCAGAGAAAGATTATTAGATCATATGTGGAATCTAATGAAAAAACTGAACTAACAAGCAAAATAGAGACAGACTCATAGACAGCAGGCTGACAGGTTGGGGACGGGGTGTGCAGTTCATGAGGGATTGGAGGGATCAAGCAAAAAGGAAAAAAGGAAAGAACTTGTGGACACAGACAAGAGTGTGGTAATTGCAGAGTGAGAGGGGTGGATAGAAGTGGAAGAGGTTATAAGGGGGATAAATGGTAATGGAAAAATACAAAAAAAAAAAAAAAGGAACAAAGTCTGGGTCTGTTGACTATAGAGAGAGAAAGTTTTAGTCAAAAATGCCATGGCTGACATCAGGACCGCTGCAATGACTAGAGATCATGACTAAAAGAACACATGTAAAGCTGATGAATATTCTATTGAGATCCTCCCCAAGATCTCTCCTAAAATCCCTGCTGTTAGGAACAAGGTAGAAGCCATTAAGACAAAGGACCAAGGGTATGCTCACAAGTTCTCTCCCTCCCTCTCTCTCTCTCTCTCACAAGCCCATGCCTTTTCCCAGTTCTTTTTTCCATCAGGCATATTCCCTCTCTCTCTCTCTCATTGCCCACACCTTTCACTGCTTTCTTCCCTTAAGGTGTGTACCTTTGCTTTCTTTCTCCTAAGCTCCAAGTATTCTTCCTTTGCCTCTGTAGCTTACTTCCTAAGCCCATGCAGCCCAGCTGGCTCACTTCTATTTCTGAGACTTTCGAAATAAACTTTCACTTATATTTGAGTTCTGAATTCTTTTATAGCCAAACTAAGGATCAAAGTTTGACAATGGTGCCATTCCATCATTAACAGCATCAATATGGGACACATACTCAGTGTTGAACAGGCTTGGAGCCCTGGCTTCTACTGCTGGCTCCATTCCAAACTGTTCTCCAAGTGCTATTACAGGCATGTCCCAACCCCTGCTACTGTTGTGAGAATTAGGAAAAAAACACATATTTAAAGACACGTGATTTTATTTTTAAAAATACACTTTATTTGCCCAAGCTGGTGTGGCTCAGTGGATTGAGGGCTGGCCTGTGAACCAAAGGGTCACCAGTTTGATTCCCAATGTAAGGCAAATGCCTAGGTTGCAGGCCAGGTCCCCAGCAGGGAGTGTGCAATATGCAACCACACACTGATGTTTCTCTCCCTCTCTTGCTCCCTCCCTTCCCTTCTCTAAAAATAAGTAAATAAAGCCTTTAAAAAATACTTTATTTCCCCCCCTAGGAAATAATAAATACAGGCAATTATAATATTTATTATGTGGATAGCACTCCCATGTAGCACCTCAGGCAGGGCACATGTGTGGAGAGGCACAGAATGTGTCACCCTGAAATATGACACTTTAGAATAAGAATTATTTGAACTGATTATTTTTTAGAAAACAGCAGACAAAGAAAAGCTCTGAAAGTAAGCAGAAGCCACCCTTTTGTAGGAGACATTAACATTTATAAGGAAGATCTCCATCCGTAAGGGGAGGCTCCTTCTCTGGACCAGTCAGAGCAGAATGAATAAATCTTTAGAAACTTCCTATCAATGGAGAAGAAAATGACTTAAATCTGCATAACAACCTTATCCTCAGTTACTGTGCTTTGCTGGTAACCTCCCATAACTGTCCTCAAACCCCAACATCTTCCTTTGTCTTTAGCTGTAGATGATATTTAAAATGATGGCCATTTCAGAGAGTTACTCAGTTTTCTTGAGTATCTTCCATGTACACATTAGTAAATAAACAAATTAAAGTTTGTTTTACTCCTGTTAATGTGTCTTTTTATTACAGGCATGTTTCAGCCAAGAACCTAAATGGACAGAGAGAAGATTATTTTTTCTCTCCTACACCTGCACAGCTCCATGTGGAGGCCGGCCCAGCCCTCCTCCAGCTTCCTTAGAGTTAATGAGCTGCCTCTTACTTCTTACATTCATTCCCTCTCAAATCAACAACCTCAGACTGTTCTTCTGGTCTCTTTCTTCTTAGGTTTTTCTTTAAGGTCTATTATCTGTTACCTTGACCATATTATATATGAAGGGTTTAAAAAAAATCAGATATTTTCTCTTTTCACAAGTTTTAACACATTTTTGCACCTTAGTTCAGATAAAGTTAATTAGTATAGTGAGACCCACAAAATGGAGGTTGCCCCAGTGGCCCAACCCAAATCTAAACTTAATCTAAACCTAAGCCAGCCTGTACATAACAGGAAACACCTGTCAAGGAACTTGAATGCACACCAGTCACAATCCTTTAACGAAGCTCTAGCTAGCCCCTTGCTGTAGAAGACTGGCCCTGCTGGCCCTGCTGGCCTTATGAGGAACCTTCAACTTCCTTGCCAACCTGACTTGTTTTCTTATTCCCTCTTCTAAAGCTCTATAAAACTCATTCTTGCCCAAAATTCCTTGAGAAGAATGCTCCACTACTTGTGAGGCACTGTACTCCCTCAATCCATGGATAGTTTTCCCTTGTATAAAAGGGAAACCAAACATTTTTTTGTCGTTATTTGACATTTCACACCCCCAGATCTGGGACATCATATCTCTTCCCAACATTTTCATTTAAGACATGTGTTCAGGAACACACCAAAACCAACAATCTTCCACCCCAGGTTTTTCATTTCATTCAAAAGAAAGTAAACCCTTCTTTTGATATCTAACTTCATTTGCCAGACTGACCTAGCAGAGGTTCTCAATATATAGCAGTTAAATTAATTTATCAACTTTAAAGGTTTGCAGGTGAACACACCCTGACTCTAAGTCTCCCACAATGAATTTTTAATGTGTCTCCAGGCTCAGTTTCTCCATTGAGATGGGCTCCTATATAGGCCTAAGGCCTGGGCTTCTTACTTGCAGCATAGAAGCATGAATGAAACTGGAGCAGTGGTCCTTGTCTTTGGGTCAGGCAGACTTCTGAATTTCCAAACCTAGTCTTTGACCTGGCTTCTCTGTCCTTTGAGCCTCAAGTCCTGTGGATCCACACCTGGCTCCCTGGGTGCTGGAAATCTGTGATCAGGCCTGCTGTGACTGCCCACAGCAACAGTCCATGAGGGATCAATTTCACAAGAGCAGAGAGCTTGACTGACCAAAATCTTTGTAAGCTCTCCACAGTGTCAGGCACATAGTTAATAAGTTGATTAATAAATCTATTTCTGGCTGTTATGTCTGTTTCTGCTGAGAATGCTTGCTTGTTTTGGCATTCTTGCCCTCTTGACAATAAGATCCTTGAAATATTCCTGACCTCCAGGTTCTGGAATGAAGCCATCATTCACTTGTGTGACACTGCACTGACATTTCAACGGAGGCACTTCTAAGCTCCTTGCTTGGGATTGGCTGATAAATTAACAACCACATATCCAAGAAGACATAGATACATATTCTGAGTTTGAGGAGATTTCTCAGCAATGGAGCATAAACAATAGTTATCCTGGAATTCAATGTTCTTCATTTCTTCCTCAATATTTCTTGTCATGTCACTGAATTCTTTTGGATGTGTTCTTTGGGGTGAGACAGGAGGGAGTGTGCTACTGTTTAGATGACATTCTTATAGATAAATTGTCTTGGTGTCTCTGGTGATACGGGCAGTGAGTGGGTTTTCTCCATCTGTTAAGTATACACAAGAATGCAGAGTGCTTAAGTGGGGCAGAGTTCTGGGTCCCCCACAGGTGACTCCTCCATTCCAGATACCCTTCACTGCTATGGTTACTTAGCCCAAGCTTCCCATTGTGCTTGTTCCCACTGTTTAATCACTTTGACTTTAGAGAAACTAGTCCATAAGTTAACCCACATTAATCTTGTTGAGTGCTTAATGAACTGAATTTTGCTTCCAATAATCCATCAGAACCAACCTTACCTACTAGCAAACTGCTTTACTCATTCTCATCTTTTCTGATCTGGTTGGGAGGGGAGTCAGGAGGTATCACTGCTTTTTCCAAGTGTGATCTATGAAGAAATAAGCTTTAAAGACTTACTATCTTAGTAGTTAGACTTGGGGGAGTGTGAAAAACAGATGTAACATAGGTATAATATGGAAAATAAAAGGAAATTTCTCCTGCTCCCAGTTTACTGATAGCTCAGAAGCGAGCTTGAGTTTCCTTTACCACTGTCTCTCCCTCCCAGGCACAGCCTAACCATTGCCCTTTACCCCATTTATGTCCTCACTCAGGTTCCTGCTGATTTTCCTATTTTTCCTACCTAGAACTTCTCTCCTGTACTATCTGTTCTACATTACCCCTATTTGACTCCTAAAACACAATTCTCTTCCATTCTCTCTATGCAAAGGGACTGGGGACATCCTGGGGACCTTTTATTTCCAAGCCAAGGAACATGAGGTCCCTGGGGCCCAAGACACTTTAAGCTAAGCTTGAATTAGGAAAAGTTATGGAATAAGTAAGATGAAACTGAGGTCTAACGTTTCTTACCTTTTGGTGTAATTGCACCACAGAATAAACCGTGTTTACTGAATCTTCTTCTGGAATAGTTTTCTATTAAAAACCAAAAAGAAAAAAAGAACAAAAAAGAAATCATCATTTACCCCTGAGCCACACAGACAAGGCCAAATAGATGCCTAGAATCCAGAGAAAGGAAAGCAGAGATGGGAAAAGGAGGGCAAGAGGGAGAGAGGATTCTGGAACAGATATGGGTCATGGGAAGTGTTCTTGTAGATGACTGTTATTATAATCATTAATAACTTGTTTAAAGAAATAATTACATTATTTTATAGATGTGTTGTATTTAAATGAATTTAAAAATATATAAGATATATAAGTCACATGAGCTATGTGCCTCTAGTGTAATTAAAGGATAATTTGAAGTAATATTGCTAATGTTGCAAATAGACATTCCCATCAGTCAAAAGCACCTTTGGAACATTAAGGATGACTGATGGAACTGAACAAAACATTACAACAAAAACAGCAGTAACAAGAGCTCCTTCCAGACCAGAGAAAAATATCCTGGGTCAATGAAGTTTATTCCTGAACATCCAGGGCATCCAGTCCTGTGGTGTCTTGGGAATATGTCTTGAGTAGGGTAGGGCTGGGGGCATAAATATAAAGTGATCAACTTGGACAGAGGCCAGGCTGAGTAGAGCACAGAGCATTCTCCCTACAGGAAGAAAGGCACTCTCTGGACACTAACTTCAAAGAGGAAATGTAGTGTCTCCTCTTGGAAAAGTTGTAGGTAAGAATAGGAAGATGCAACCTGATTAAGAAATGGAAAGGGCTAGAGTGAAAAACTGGGACATTAAGGCTCCGAAGTGTTCTAATTTTTTTTTATTAAGTAGGCCTATGCAGAAAAGTGCTCTCATTATGACCTCAAAGGAGCCAGTCCATCCTGGACTACAATGATTGTTCCTGGAGAGAATTTTGAAGTTGTCTACATAGTTCATGCCTCCAGATTGCCTCTTTTTATTTGGCTGTTTTTAACATTTATTTTTATACACTTCAGAGTTTCCTTTGGATTAACCTTGCATTTATTTACTTCAGCTAGATAATGCACACTTGGGAAGCTTGGAATGTGGGCTCAGAGCCACCATGGGCCATCGAAGTCCTTTCCTGGTGTCTTCTTGAATTGCCTCATAGAAAGGCATCCCTAAATCCAATCTACTGACCACATAATTCAAACATCATGTCAAAATTACACTACTTTCCCTCTTGTCTTATCCTAAAGGAATCAAGCCTGCTGAGTGGCTTATGAACTGTGACTGTTGAGTGGCTATTATGAACTGTGGGGGGAAGGGGTCATTCCATAGACCATAGTGTGAGCATTACTGATGGGTCAGAACCAGGTGACTCAGAGGTGACCAACTCTTGCATAAGAGAGAATCCATAAAAACCCAGGGGAGTCACAGGTACCTTGGTTTTCAAGAGCTATACATCCTCATCCCCCATGTTGTCCAAATCCATGGGAAAATCTCAAGTGAAACAAGAAGGACCTCAGAGAGGAGGATAAGGCCCCAGGAAAGATGGGAATAGACTCACATTATAGTTAGAGATTGTATCATACTCTGAGGTCTCTCCAGACGGGGGATAGTAGTTAAGAATTTCCTGATGAGTGTCCATTTTCTTCTCTTTAATGGACTCTGTAACTAAGTTGGAAGAGAATCAGAGCTGGCCCTTCATTCCACTCACCACTCCCATTGGCCCTCCACCCAATCTGACAACCTACTTAGGGTAACCAACTATCCTGGTGTCCCTGTAACTAAAGGGTTTTCCAGGACATGGGACTTTTAGTGCTAACCCCAGGAAAGTCCCAGGATGAACAGATTACCCTCATTACTTTACTTTCTAGTCCCTGAAAGGGGTGGGGACTAGAGGGGGGACTAGAAGGATCTTGGCCTTAGGTAAGGACTCAAGCACTCTTTCTACTCCAGAACTAAGGGTGCAGGCTGATGTTGTTCTCCTTGAAGCAGAGGGTATGAGCTCTTCATTTCTGAATCCTTATGCCTAGCACCAAGCTGGGCGTATAGTTAGCATATGTTTATTGAATAAATGAGGGAGAAAAGGAATGAATGAGGGTGAAACAAAAAATGGTACATACTCTACCTTTTCTTTTTTGTCTCCACATAATGAAAGTAATTGTCACCAGTATAAAGACACTGAGCAGTAAGCACATCCACAGCTGATTCAGAGCTATGATGGGATATAGGTCACCAGTGACACCTTTAAGGAAAAAAAAATGGGTGGAGGCACAAGGAAGGAAAAATAGTCAGCTAGGGAAAATGATCCAACTTTTGGAGCAACTCCCACTTTTCTCCCAGTCTGGTGACTTCCCAGGGGTCTCCCATTTTTACACAGGACCCATTCCCATAGGGACCAGGAGCTAAATAAGGTATAGGTCCTGAGACTACAGGATCTTGGAGAAAGAGGAAAGATGGTCACCTTCACAGAGCTTCCGGGGAAAGACGGGATTTGAAGAGTTGCTGCTGATAGGGTTCCGGGCCATGCAGATGAAGGGCATGTCCTTTTCCCCCGGCCTCCAGGATATGGGGAGGATGGAACCATGAAAGGATTCATTGGCTGTCTGCCCCAAGGACTTCCAGCTGTAGGTTACATCCTCTTCTCTTTGTTCCATGGAACATGTCAGATTGGTCACACAGGTGCCATTCTTATTGTTCTGCAGCAGACCCATGGCGATTTTGGGCTTTGATAGGTACTCTGTAAAGGAGAATGAATAACCCAGCATGGAAACTATGCCTAAAACTCTCCTTTTTCTGAATTATTCTTTTAAACCCTGGACCTAAATCTCTTTGAGGTGCTACAGAGTAGAGAGGAAGCAACAATTCAGAGCAGATTCTCATTCTTTATCTGGGAAAGAGAACTATGTAGGCCTGCTTTCCTACAGCTATATAGCAACAAAAACAACAATAGTAGTAGAAATAATAACAACCTAACAAGAATGCAGCTGCTGTTTACTAAGCACAGTCATATGGCAAGCACTGTGTTAAATATATTTTAGATATTAGCTAATTATATCATTTTAGAGGCTCCCTATTTCCCTGTCTTAGGCTTCCTTGAAGAGACTGCCACTTTACTGTTCTGGAATAACACTTTTTGGTCCCCTACCCCCACCCCCACCATGAACTCTGTGCTCACTCCTTTCCCTCCAAAGATGAGCAACTGGGTCATTGCTGAGATGGTGAGAGTCTGACCTCTATTATCTACATTTCTCTACTTGTGGGTTTGAGCTGTTAAGATTGCTACTAAATGTGGTTTGCCTACCCATCCCCCTGGCCCCCAGCTGGTTTGCCTGCAGAATGCATGTCTTCTGTTCCTTTCAACCACATATATATTGAGGACAAGCCTGGATCAATGTGAATGGCCTACCTCCTACAAGCAAACTTGGAGGCCAGTCTCCTGATATCTGCGATATTACATCTCAGTGAGTGAGACAGCTTTTCTTGTACCTGGCTGAATAATTGTTTTATAAATTCATCTTCCTTGAATGGGCTCCAAGCTCTAGACTTAGGGAAAAAAAAATTATCCTAGCTTGCCTTAAGAGAAAAAACAAAGCTATTTTTATATTCCTGCCAATTCTTGGTTCTATTTCTCAATTGATTGGAATCTGTAGGGGAAGAGATGTGATTGCTGTTTATACCTGATACATTGTCTAAGATAGAAATCACTTTCTTCCCTGTTATGGACATGGAAACCAAGTTTCAAAGATATTGGGTAACCTGGCTAAGGGCATGCAACTAATAAATAGAGAAGCCAATATTTGACCTGTGTGATTTCCACTTCTCATTTCACCTGTTTATTGTACCACACTGCCTCTTACTCAATCTTGGAGTAGGAAGGGATCTCCGGGGTCAGCAACATCTACTTCATTCATGTAGGAGTTCCTTCTTTCACATTCTTGCCAAGTGTTTATTCTGCCTCTGCTTAAACATCTCCAATATCAGGGAGTTTACTACTTTATCTAGGCAGTCATTTACTTTTGGAACTGGTTTTACTCACCGTAGACACGCAGCTCATACTCCTGGGTAAAGGGATGCAGGAGGGATGAACTGTATATCTGTACACGATAGGCACCTGAATCATTCTTATTCAGTTTGCTGAGCTTCAGGGAGTAGTTTCCATGTGGGAAGTCCACCCTTTTCTTGTTATGATTTTGAGTCACTATGACAATGTCTTGATTGTTTGCTGTTTTTGGCTGTATGGTAACAAGTGTAGTTGTGTTAAAGGTCCAGACAATGCTGTCAATTAAATTTACTGAGTGCATCAGAGGGAAAGTCACAGACCCATCAAGGGCACCAACCAGCTCCTTCAGGGTTCTAGAGGCTGCTGACCCTGCAGACACAGAATCATAAAATAAATGTGAGTCCCTGCCCTTTCCACCAATTACTAACCCACTTTGGGTTCTAGGAAGGTCCCAAGGAACCCTCACAGTTCAACCCAAACAGCCCCTGGGAAACCCTTTGGAACCTCACTCTTTTGAAAGCATTGAAGGCAGAAGTCTTTCATGAAAGGGGTAACTTCCCATGAACCCACCCCACTCCCAGAGGCCTCTGGCTGAAAAGATGAAGTTCTGAGGTAGACCACAAGAACAAGCTCCATCCTTGACAAGTTCCTGCAGGAGGACAAGTGTGAGTTTACTGTCCAAGCCCTGCTTAGGACACCCCCCTCCTCCTGCCATTGCTCCTGGGAGAGCTAATTTAGATTCAGCTAATGAAGGAGCAGCCTGCCTGATATGGGCCACTGGTTTTCAAGCACAGAGCAGAACATTGGGAGGTAAGTTATAAGTTCCTAATGATAGTGATAGCTTAGAAATTTGAGGATAATTAATATTTCTATTTTATGACAGAGAGGACTTGAGAATCCCAGTTTCCCTTTTACATCCTTTGGTGACCTTCCTTCAAGCATAAGCAAGTCTCCCTGTACTTCAGAATAAGAGAATCTGATGTTACCAAATGTTGACCTAGCTCCTTGATTACATGTCTGGGATCTTGGCCAACTTCATTGCTAAATTTATTTTCAAAAGTACTGGTTTCTCCCTGGGTAAATGCCTTTGAGAAACTGATTCCTGTGATTAAACCTTCTTCTTCTTTTTTTTTAGTCTATTAGGCTTTATCAAGTCATTCTGTTAAGGGATCTAATTTTTCAAAAAACTGTTCTCCCTGCTTCCTTAATACTAAGGAAGGATGGTTTTTCAGTTCCTCTTTGATCAACTCAGGGAGTATCAAAGTAGTCCCAGTAAATGTTACACATGATATCAATTTTTAAAAAATTTTTTGATGGATCAGTTAATGCTTTATTCTTTCACTTTAACAACAGAGATGGAAGGAGTTAATGCAGGGTCCATCACAAATAATGCCCTTTTTATTAAAAAATCATATGCATGTAACTCTGTAACATAACAATATCACACTCAAGCACACTATATGACATTTTAGGTGAAAAGTTCAAATTGCATGTCCATCTCCTGCGTGACATTCACATACTCTACCAACCATAACTCAAGCAGGCGTTACTTCTGCTGGACCCTGTAGTTTGCAGTCAAACAAAGATTGAGTATCACTTGCCTTCAGGTAGGTGTAATCTGTAGCTTTAGGGCAACTTTGAGTAATTTTGTCTTCACATAAGGTTTTGGGGAGATATTCTAGTCAGGGAGGTGACAAAACTGCAAAGATGTGGCTTTAGTGCTTTAGCATGTGCACACATTTAAGCTCTGAGTAGTTATTTTTGACTTCACACATGTGGTGTTACATCCTCAGGGTAAAAGTAAAAAAAATGTGAACTCTGTGGTGACATAGAAAAATGTCTTCAATGTATAGTTTTTTTGTTAGAAAGAAACTGAAGGATGACAGTGTAAATTGCCAGGGTGGGAAGAGGGGTCATGAAAGAAGAAAGTAGCTCCATGCCAGCTCCTAAATGTGAGTTCAGAGGACAGGGACAGGCGTGGCGAGTCCCAACAAGTTTTGTTTTTTCTTTCCAGTTGACTGTGAAAAGGGATGCAGAAACAAGAGACTTCTCTCCTCAGCTGCCCAAGGCTGAGCTGCATTTCCCCTTTCTGTGATGGCTTCCCTGCCTGCAGCTGTGGCATACTAGAGTTTCACCATGTATAAGTAGGTCATGCTTTTCTCATTCGGTCTGTCCTTCCTGTCACAAGAATTTATTTGGTTCCATATTTGTGCCAGGCACTGTTTAGGAGATGAGGATATAACCGGGCAGCAAGCTAGTCATGATCCTTGCATTCATTGGGTTGGGAGATTGTCATTAAATAAGTAACTTTATGTGTTATAAAAGGGGGGAGGTAACAGGTACTTGGGGAAAATACAATGGTGGTACTTAAATTTGTCTGTGGGATCAGCTGACTCTGGATAATGAGTGACTGCTAATGCCTATCTACAAAACCTGGGAGGATTTGGTCCCATGAGACTCATCTACTCCCTCCCCCTACCTAGATCAATGTAGTCAGTGGTGTAGCTTGCCTCTTTTGCATCCATTTCACCCCTTCCGCATTTTGTTGTATCCAGGCGGTTTGGGCACAAATGATGGACACCCAGCTCAGGTGGCTGTAGCCTTCCTCTGGCATGGTAATTAATTCAGGGGTATCACATTACCTGGGTTGATTGTATCTGAGAGAATCCCAGGACTTTTACTCTAAGGCCAAGATGACTGTATGATGCTGTGGGAAAATATGAAGCCCAGGATGGCCACCCACTTACTACCACCAGACAAGCAGCCAATCCTCTCCTCAACTGATCTCATTTACTTTCTACCTCACAAGCTTTTGTTTATGCTTTATCATTCTTTCTGCTTATCTAACCTTATTCAGGACCCATAAGAGCCTAGTTCAAAGCCCTTCCCTGAGGAAACCTCCAACTCTTTCTCACATGTACCCTGTGACAATCCACCAGTAATTTATTCTTTTTTACTTCAAATTCTTCAGAAGGAGATATTTCCCTGGGTAGTGACTGGACATACAATTTTGCTGTGAATTAACCAATGTCTATAAGCATTTTGTTACAGATCTCCTGGTGTTGGAGTCTGGGGTCCCACACAAGAAGTGGTGGAGATAGCTTCTCCTCCCAGGCAGCATGGAGTGGTGTGAAAGTGTCTGAGCTCTCACCTAACTGGGATCCAGGAGAGCGGGGTTTGATTCTGGCTCATTCATAATAATAACTACAACAACAAACACTTGATGCCACATTATAGTTCATAAACTAGTTTAATGGGCATTATCTCTGTTGATCCTCAAAGCAATTCTGTACATAGAGGTGAAGCTCCACTTTATAGATGAGGACACTGGGGCTCCAAGATACTAAGTGATTTTCCCACATTCCTAAACTGAAAAATGGCAGGAGTGGGAATGAGAAACTGGTTAGTTCCTCTGTCTCAAAGGCCTGCGTTCCTTCCACTACCGCCTCACCGCTTACCACTTTGAGTTTTGGTGTTCTCAACTTTCAGAGGAGAAAAAAATAACCTTTATTTGCCAGGATTTGGGGGAAGATGAAGGGTAAATATGGATCTGAAAGCATTTTGAGAAGTACAGAGCAGTCTGCAAGATGGTAGGAGGCAGGAGAGGGGGCAGAATGTAGCGTTACGAGGAGCAGACCTTGAGAAAGTTCTCCATTATTTGTTTCATTTTCACAAGGATGGCTAAAACTGAGAAGCAGAGAGTTCCCTAAACTTCTTTGGATGGCTTCTTGGCAAGGTGGGCTTCTCAGAAAGTGGTCTGGAACCTAATGCCTGTAGACTAGTCACTCACACCATGCAGGGAATATTCAGCAAACATTCCCTGCCAACCTGCCTTTGGAGATTAAGGAAGCTGGGGAAGGGGATAGTTGACCTTCTCTATCCAAGATGTAGATATTTTTGGTATAAAGGGAGTCAACTTTAAGATGTCCTTCATAACAGACAGGGACAAAAGCTTCTCCTCTTTGCTACCTCCCTTTACATTGAGTTATTACCTCTGCCCCTTAGACTGTTCCTCCAAGGCTCAAAAGTTGAGTGGATGATATTCCACTCAACTTTTATTAGGAGGGGGGATATCGTCAGTACAGGCAGAATCAAGGGATGGTGACTCAGGAGACAGACTTCAGGCTAGGGAAGGGTATAAAGTCTACCACCCACTTGCCAGCCCAGTCCCTGAGCACCTCTCCCAGTACTCTGTGCCTCTCTCAGAATGAATCACCATGTCATGGCACCCTCCTCCTGGAAACCAAGGACTAGAGCGTTTCAGAGCTGGAAGGAATCTTAGGGACTACTTAGTTCGGTCTCATTTTACAATTGAGACTGATGCTCTGAGGGTTATGGTGACATGTTTCAAGTCAGTGGAAGACCAAGATTAAGAACCAGGGCTCCTAAGGCAGGGTTTCTCAAGCAGTGCCCCTGCCACCCTTGAGGTCTGTGGCAGTGCCTGAGTTTTTTTTCAAGGAGTTTAGAGGGTGGTCTAGGAGATGAGAAATAGAAAGAGGGATGATTGGCCAGAGTCCATAGAACTCCCCCTCCATTAGAGAGGTTTCACCTCCCTGCATTAGAGTTATTTACTTGTTTGTTTCTGTGTAAGATTTCATTTCAGAAAATGGAAACCACTGCTTAAAAAAGAAAAAGATTTTGGAAATTACTGCTTTTTACCCAACTCCTCCTCAACAAATGTATCCTGTAAAGAGAATTTTAAATCAGTGCCATGTACAGATGACCCTTGACTTAAAATGGGATTAGCCTGATAAAACCATCATAAGTTGAAAATATCATAAAGTAAAAAGTGCATTTAATATACTAACTTACTGAACATCAGAGCTTAGCTTAGCATATCTTAAGTGTGCTCAGAACACTTACATTAGCCTACAGTGGGGCAATTATCTTGAGTTTCATCTCCATATATTTCATCTCAAGAGTAATTGCCTCCTTTCTTTTCTCACCAGAAACAGGATACACAGATGGGCACATTGTAGACATGATAGGATGCAAAAACACAAAACCAAAAATCCAATAAACACTGGCAACATAGCACACTGTAGAGTATAGGTTGTAGGTCTTCATGATCGCATGGCTGACGGAGCCGTGGCTGGCTGTCACTGCCCAGCATCATGAGAGAACATTGTATTGCATAATGCTAGACTGGGAAAGAATCAAAATCCAAAACTTGAAGTTCAATTTCTACTGATATGCATCATCCTACAGTCGAAAAATAGCAAGTTGAGCCATCAGAAATTAGGGACTACATGTAAGTGAAACAGAGGCTTGCAAACCTTCCAGTTCACCCTACATGTTTGCCACTCCTCCAACCCTAGCCCATAACGTTCACATTCAAGCTCTCCACTGCTGCTGTGACCCTTACTCATCTCCTGTTTCCTACTTCTTGTCTCTTTTGGTCCTTTCCAACATTTTCCCAATTCCCCCTTACCGACTTTGTTTTTGTTGTTTTCTTTTTTTACCTGTCTCATCAACACTCCTGTATCATTTAATCATCAAAAAATTTTTGAGGGGGACAGGTTATTGTGTCTGTTTTCCAGATGAAAATACTGAGGCTACAGAGCTGCTTCTTAGCTCCTCTTAATTTGGCCAGGTTGGGTCCCTGTTGGTGCATTCACATTCTGGAAAGAGTTATTTGCTCTTCTTGGGCATTTCCAGTCCCTACTTTGGCCTCACATACCTGGAAGGGGAAGGAATCACAAGCTCTCCTGGGAAGGGTCATGTGGTATATGCATTTATTGAGCACTTCCCTGGTGCCAGCTACAGTGTTAGGCAGGTTGGTGTGATAAAAAGAGCACCAGCTTTAGAAAGTCAATCTCTGATCTCCTCCCCCTTATTAGTTGTGTAATTTTGCCCAAGATACCTTGACCTCTCTAAGCCTAAGTTTTCTCCCCTATAAATCAGGGATAATAATATCTATCTTATAGACTTGTGAGAAGATTGTATAAAAAATGCCTTAGAAGGAGGAGGAACTTAATAAATAATGATTATTATCATTGTTTTGCCTTTGAAATTTTATTTAAAACACCACAGTACTTCTTCAAGTTCAGTTTTATTTTCCATTATGTATTTATGAAGACCAGGGTTCAGAGGCTGAGTAACTTACCCACAGAATATAGCTACTAAGCCAAACTTAGGAGTCCTTGTCTAGGGCCAGCACTTGTTCCCACTGTCCTGCCCACTGGATGGTCTATGACAATTCCGGATTCCCTTCAGCCATGGGAAGTGTACCACGCAGCCTGCCCTCAGCCTCCTGGAGGACAACGCACTCTTGTGCCCTGCTTCCCATAGTTCAAGTTTTCAGTGTGTCCCTGATATGTCCTCCCCCACCTCACCTGCCCCAAGTTGCACTTCCTGAACCAGGTGTTTTCTAAAAGTACAAATTTCTAATGAACTCAAGGAGGGTGAGAATCTGCTGATGCTGAACATTTAGTCAGGCTAAGTGATGTGGTAGAAAATCCTGGGAGTGCTTACTAACTGTGTGGTCTTGGGAAGACCACTTTAGGCAGGCCTAGGGCACACACAGACAAATCAGCTGTGCCAGGTCCTCAGAGGGAGGCCTCATGGAATTATCCCAGGAGTTTGATGACTGGAAATATATTCACAATTTATGGAGCTCCTGGTCTGTTCTGAGATCCTTGAGGTTAGTAAAATGTTCAAAGACTAGATAGAGTTCCTATCACAGGTGAAAGAAGTCTCCAGTCCTTTATGACATTAAACATAAAGTACCTACAACGAGTTGATTTTCTGCATAAAGGCTGGTTGAATTTCTTGGGTTAAAAGATAAAATGTAAATGTTTCCTTTCACCAATATAATTGTTTTGCATAATCATTTGAAATATATTTCTAAATATAAAATACTTAGATATCTTGTAAATATATTTAAAGAAATATTTAAAATATATATTTATGAAAAAATAAACACACACCTGTAGGATATTATTTTGCTTCTAAGTGTCCTCATAAAAAGGGAGGGCTAAGGTCCAGGGAAGATGACATTCTTTATCTAATTTGTGGCAGAAAGTGTAATTAGGACACAGATCTTCCTGATGCCCAACACCACTTTTTCCAGCCCTTTCTTCCCTAGGACAATCAGAAGGAGAGTTGGTCCCCAGAGTCATTCCTTCTCTTCTCTCTTCAGTCCCTTTCTGGTAATTGTGATTCAGAGATCATAGTGTGGCAGGAGAGCAAAAAGCTAGGAAAATTCCTGAGTAACTGTAATGGGGAAACTGAGACAAGAAAATAAAATGAAGCCAAACAGTCTGCGCAACTTATAGCCAGCTGGTGAATTGCAAGATCTTATGTTCCCTAACCAAGGACACTCGAGAGGAAATGGTATATACCTCTCCTCCCTAACCAGAAATACATAGCTTACATCTCCCTGGTCTGGGAGCTAGAGAACAGAAACCCAATTAATGCTATTTATGTCAGCCAAACCCAAAGACAGATGAAGTCAGGGGAACAAATAACAAAAACCTCATTAAAAACCAGACAGACCCAAGTAAGTAAAACAGTAAAGCAGACCAAAGAATAACACCCCTCCCCACCACCAATATGCTCAGTTTTGATGCATTAGCATATTAAAAACACACCTAGAAAGCCAACAAATGTTCTGCTGAAACCCTCCCCTAAGATTCTCACCTGCAGAAGAGGGATAAAAAATCCCTCAAGACAAAGATCAGGTGTGGGCTCACTCTAGATCATGCCTATCCCCCTTGCCCAGGCATGAACATTTTACATCCTCTGAAATTCTAAGGGGAGGGAGCAGTGGAAGGTAGCTTGGCCTGGATTTACTCTCTGGTCCTGTCTCCAATGTCCCCTTTTTTCTGATTTCCCAGTGAGCTAAAAGCAGCCCCACCTTGGCTCATTTCTGTCACTGGGACCTTCATTTCTGTGAGCTAAGAGAAGCCCACCTTAGCTCATTCCTTTCTAATTATGTTTCTAGTGAGGCAAAGCAGAACATCACCCAGGCTGTCTCCTGTTACTTCTACCATAAGCTCTTCCTTTGTTTCACTGTCCCCAGTACTCTCAACATTACCTGTACTCATGCTATGAAATCTTTCTCAGACAAAGTCAAGAACCCATACACTCTAGGCAGAGGCCAGCCTAAAGCAGACATGCTCCAGGCTGGTCCCTGTCCAGTAACAATAGGATGTAAAAAGAAGTATTAGATAAGGAAGCAGAGCCTGCTCAGTTGAGCCAGAGCTCCAGAGTGGACCCGGGATCTGAGATATACCTCATAATAAGAAAGGCATTCAAGAGAGCAGGAGGATCTGGCTGGGCTCACCTGTGAGCTGGCAGAGTAGAAAGATGAAAATGAAGTTAGCTGGGGAAACAGGCATGTTGTTCTCTGGAGGTCAGTCATTAAAATGAAACCAATTCTCTCATATAACACTTTAGTTTCTTTCCAAACAGGTTTTAAAGAGTAGGAGGGGTCATGAGATTAGCAAGTGAGAATGAATCATATCTATTTTTTTCTTTTTTTATATTTATTTACTTATTCTTGTAATTGTTCCATGACCATTTATCCACCCTATACCTTTTCCCACCCCCATCTCCCACCTCCTCCACACAGTCACCACACTATTGTCTGTGTCTGTGAATTCTTTCTCTCTCTTTTCTTTTTTTGCTCAATCCCTCCACCTCCTAACCACCCTCCAGAGCAGTCAGCCTGCTTCTATGAGTCTGTCTCTATTTTGCTTGTTAGTTCAATTTGTTCATTAGATTCCACATATGAGTGAAATCTTTTGATATTTTTCTTTCCCTGACTGACTTACTTCACTCAACATAATATTCTCCAGGTCCATCCATGCTGTAGCAAAGAATAAAACTTTCTTCTTTTTTATGACTGGGTAGTATTCCATTGTGTAAACATACCATAGCTATTTAGTCTGCTCCTCTACTGATGGATACTTGGGCTGCTTCCAAATCCTGGTGATTGTAAATAATACTACAGTGAACATAAGGCTGCATATATTCTTTTAAATTAGTGTTTCAGATTTCTTCAGATAGATTCCCAAAAGTGAAATTTCTAGGTCATAATTATGGGAGAGCTCAAGTGATGAAAAATTTTTAGCTTTAAGTTATAGTTGATAAGTTTAGTAATTAATGCATGTAAAAATCTATTGTTCCTGGAAGTGGAATTTATGGCCAAACCTAACCTGATTCCAGGAGATCCACAAGCAATTCAACCTTTGTGCCCCAGGAAGATGCAAATGATCAAAATGGTATCTGAGCCATTGTGCTTCAGCCACAGAATGTGCACCACCCAGGATGCAGATATAAAGAATCACCAGTCAGCAGATGAAAAGATGCTAGGAAAATTGCCAGATTGCAGCTTTTATCTGTCTAATCTTTTCCCTGAATTCCAAACTTTTTACCTATACTTTTCTTCTCCTTACAAAAATGGTCAGCTTGAGGTGAGATATAAACTGGTCTTTTAGGGTACCTAACCTATCATCTTCTCAGATTGCTGGCCATCTGCATAAAACACCCTCAAAGATTCAATCATTGTCTCTACTTACTGGTTCTGGGGGTGACAGGTAGCAGGAATGCTGACTTTTTGGTTTCATATTCTGGTGACTCCTTCCAGGAGAGTTTCAAGGATCTCCAGTAAGTCTGGGTATTTGGCGGAGAGTCCTGTTGGCTGCCTGGACTGAGGGATTCTAGGGTGTGGATTTGGAGACTCCCTAGCATTTGTCAAGTGATTTCATTTGGTGAGTCTCCTTTTTTGACTCCTGGCACCCCCATCACTTCCACTGTCACTTTCAATCGAAGCACTGCACTTTCTGGTTCAGGATCACAGTCCCAGATTATGAGTTAGATTGATTATCAGCAATTAAGGTGCCTTCTGGTTTGGTTTGTGTGATATTATAGAACTCTGTCTGTTAGAATGTGGGGGCTCCCATTTTAGGAAAAAGCCCTTTGGGGGCAAATACTGGCTGACTGGTCAACCTACGCTTATAAACCTATGACTAAAATGAAAATGATCTTGTATAGTAATACTACTTGGTTTATGTATAATCTGGACTCAGGAGAGCACTAGCCACTGAAGAGGTTTTTAAATTACTATACTGTACTGTAATTAGTTTTTTCCCTGTGTCAAAGACCAGGGAAATGGGACAAAACACCTTATGTACAAGCTTTTATGATTTTACATAATAAAGATGCAGGATTAAAAGGAAATAGATTAATGGTCCAGGGAAAAGGAAAGTTGCCTGTGGCATATAGGAGAAGCTCATAAGTAAAGGACCAGAAAGATCTAGATGTTTTGGCTGTTGTGAGTATGGTCAGTGTTCCCATGACCCTTCCAGCCCTAGGGATTCTTCCTTTTTACTCACCCGAGGGAGCCAGAGGAGGTGAGCCTGAACCGGTCTCTCTATCACAAACCCATCAGGGAACCAAATTTAGTGGAGTACAAACCCCCACCAGGGCAGGGCAATGCCCTTTGAAAGACTTCCAGTGGGAGTAGGGCTAGAGGGCTAGCCCATGGGATATTATTGGGCATATACACCATTTTCTACATTGGATCTGTTAAACTGGAAAAACTCAAATCCTTCCTAAAGGGTGAACCTACTAAAATGACTGACTTAGTTATGTCAGTTTTGCCATCCACCATCCCAGTTAGGCAGACATAGAAGCCTTACTAAATATTTTGCTTACTGGGAGTGAGCAGAGGCTGGTATTGTATAAGGCAAATGAAGAGGCTCAAAGACTGCCCCAAGAAAATCCAGATGGGGCTCCCAATCCTACTAAGGCAATACTTTTAACTGAGCCCAAATTGGATACTAATGATAATGGCCTTCCTCTTTTAGAGCATTATAAAAAGTGCATCCTTGAGGGACTAAAGAAAGGAGTCACTGAGCAGGAAAGTCTGAATATGGTACAGGCAATGCAACAAAACCTCACAGAGGACCCCTCTGAGTTTCTTGAAAAAAATCTACCAAGCCTATAAAAAATATACTGAATTGGATTCACCAGCCCCTGAAAATATTAGTGGTGAATACGACCTTTATCTCTCAAAGTGCACCTGACATCAGAAACTTCAGAACTTGGAGGAATAGGCACGAATCCTTCTCAACTAGTAAATATTGCCTTCAAAGTTGATAATGACAGAGAACAGAAAAAGGCCCAAGGGCCTTTATTTTCTTGGAACAGGCCTCAAGGCAATTACATCAGTGGGAAAGAGGCACCAACCCCTATCTAAAACACTTGCCACTGATCAATACATGTGTTGCAAAGGAAAAGGGCACTGGAAAATATGTGAGGAAGAAGGAGGTCAGTCTGAAAATTTGAGAGTCATACTGGGAAAAACAATAGCTCTGATGATGAGTGTGGTTTTAATTTGCATTTCCCTGATGATTAATAACGTTGAGCATCATAACATATGTCTATTGGCCATCCATATGTTCTCTTTGAAAAAGTGTTTATATAGGTCCTTTGCCAATAATTTAATTGGATTTTTTATTCTCATAAACATTGTTTTTACATTTTTATTTTTTTAAATTTATAAATCATGTTTATTCTATTACAGTTTTCTCAGTTTTTACCCCTTTACTCTCCTCCACCCATTCCACCCCCACCCCCTGCTCCCACAGTCCATTCCCACTCTGTTGTCCATGTCCATGGGTCACTCATAAATGTTTTTTGTCTAGTTCCTTCTCCTTTACACCATTGTCCTCTTTCCCAATGTCCTCTGCTCACATTCAGTTTGCTCCTCGTTTCCATGCCTGTAGTTTATTTTGTTTGTTAGTTTATTTTGTTCGTTAGTTTATTTTGTTGAATAGAGTCCACTTATAGGTGAGATCATATGGTATTGTCTTTCATCAACTGGCTTATTTCACTTAGCTTAATATTCTCCAGTTCCATCCATGTTGTCCCAAAAGGTACGAGTTCCATCTCTCCCTTTCTCTCTTTCTTTCTTAAATGCAGATTGATTTTACTTATTTTTCAAATGTCAAAGCAAGGGAGACAAATATTTTGTCAAATATTTTAATTATAAAATATTGAAAAATTTAAAACCATTATAAAGTCTCAGCAGTTAAACCAACATGATGCCAGCACAGAAATAATCAAGTAGATCAATGAAATATAATGAGCATTCTAGAGACAAATGTATATACCTGTCTAAAAATTTAATATATGATTAAATTGATATTTCAAATCAATGGGGAAAATAAGGCTTATTCCACAAATAAGGTGCATGGACCACTATTACTTGAAATAAAAGAAATATAGAGCCCTATTTCACACATTATACAAGAAATATTCAGATGAGTTAAAAATCAATATGTAGAATCTAAGGAGTTTTAGAAGAAAATAGAACTAATATTTTTCATGACCTGAAGTAAAATATTCAACCCCAGAAGCTATAAAGTAAATATTGATAATATGACTATATTAAACATTTAACTATATAGTAATATACATATAAAAAAAGTTAAAGGACAAGGAATAGAATAGAAAAGTATATGCAACACATCTAAAACATCGTTAATAGGTTTTCTGTTTCTTGTTTTTGGGTTTTTTTAAAAATTTTATTTTAATCTATTTTTTCAAATACATTTGTCTCTGCCTCCCCCCCACCACTTTCCCTTGCTCCCTCTCTCCTTCCCTCCCTCAGCTCTTCCCCTTTGGTTTTGTCCATGAGTCCTTGCTATATGTTCCTTGACTTTCCCCTTCCTTCCTTTTCCCAGCCCCCCCCGCTCCATCCTTCCCTCTTGCCTCTGTTGATTTCTTTTCCTTTCAGTGTTGCTGGTCTTATTTTCCTTGCATCTTTGTATTGTTGGTTAGGTTCCGCTTATAGGTGAGATCATATGGTATTTGTCTTTCGCCCGCTGGCTTATTTCGCGTAACACAATGCTCTCCAGTTCCATCCATGCTGTGGCGAAGTGTAGTAGTTCTTTTTTTCTTTTTGCTGCATAGTATTCCATTGTGTATATGTACAATAACTTTTTGATCCAATCATCTACGGATGGGCATTTAGGTTGCTTCCAAGACTTGGCTATTGTAAATTGTGCTGCTATGAACATTGGGTGCATAGGTTCTTTTGTATTGGTGTTTGGTGTTCTTAGGGTATAGTCCCAGCAGGGGAATCACTGGATCAAAAGGCAGTTCCATTTTCAGCTTTTTGAAGAAATTCCACACTGCTTTCCACAGTGGCTGCCCCAGTCTGCATTCCCACCAACAGTGGACTAGGGTTCCCTTTTCTCCACAGCCTCGCCAGCACCTGTTGTTTGTTGATCTGTTTATGATGGCCATTCTGACTGGTGTGAGGTGGTACCTCATGCTGGTTTTGATCTGCATTTCTCTGATGACTAGTGATGCTGAGCATCCTTTCAAATGCTTCTG